TGTGTGTGTGTGTGTGTGTGTGTGTGTGAGAGAGAGAGAAAGAGAGAGAGAGTCTTTAAGTGTGAGTTTTGTGTTTCTGCCCCTGCTGTTCAATCATGTGCAGACGAGGAGCTGCGAATGCGACTGATGCACTCACAGTGAAAAAGTGCATCTGCTGTTGTCTCTCACATCAAAATCCAGCCACATATTTGTTCAGCAGCAAAACTGATGACACACAGGTCAGAATCTCAGGATGATATGCACACGAGCACAAGTGATTATGAGTTTTGGAAAATGAATCCTGGTAGAGGGAGACAAAGAGGAATAGGAGGGAAAAATAAAAATGAAGGGGATGAGGTCAAAGGACATTTGTTCCTGATGAAATACACAGCACTATAGTTGAGCATGTTCTTCTGCATGGACTGACCGTGAGGGAAGTTAGCCTACAGCTCATCTACAGGGTTTCAATACTACTTACACAACTACAATATAATTACAGAACATAGCAGCAGTACTTCAGATGAGAGAGCTTTCATTATTCTATGTACAGTAAATACTGTAGTACATGTTGTACACCCTCAAACTCATTACTGTTGGATTGATTTGTAGCCAAGTATGTACTGTATTTGTGCAGAACTGAGAGACGACTGTCTAGGGGAGGCAGAGAAGTGTTTTGTCAGAAGACTAAGAAACTGCTATAGTATATAAAATACAGTAAGGATACTGTAATGCAACTTGGCAGAGGATGCTGAATTTATATATTTACAGTAACTGACAGTATATTCCAATGTGTGTTTGCTGTATATTCAGTTGTTTGGTCTTTGAACTTTTCTCTTGTAGTGCTTTTCATCTACTGTAATGTCTCTTTACAGTAGTGTAGTGACTAAAATTTTCTTACAGTTTATTGCTGAATGTTACTGTATCTGCACCCCTCTATTTATGTCGTATACTGTAACAGTCATTGACTAGAAAAAGACTAGATTCCTATATCCCAAAAGCAGGTTTTTGTAACAGTGTTTTGAATTGATCTCACTAGTGTTCACTATTGAAGTAGTGTGTGTATTTGGCAGGTTTGTGTATCATCTGAGGCCAACGTTTGAGTCTGACAAAAGAGAACATGTTTTTGACTAAACTATTTGATTTTGACCTTGTTGGCACAAGTTGGTGTATAGTTTTGAGATTGTGTTTATAGTTGTGAGAAAATGGTGAAAACGTTTCTTAAAACGTTTAACACATTTCAAAATTTTCTGCAAAACTCTACACAAAAACGTCATCATTTTGCACAGGTTTAACCATGTTCTCATTCAGAAAACACAAACACACAATATAACTAGAAAAAGACTAGATTCCTATATCCCAAAAGCAGGTTTTTGTAACAGTGTTTTGAATTGATCTCACTAGTGTTCACTATTGAAGTAGTGTGTGTATTTGGCAGGTTTGTGTATCATCTGAGGCCAACGTTTGAGTCTGACAAAAGAGAACATGTTTTTGACTAAACTATTTGATTTTGACCTTGTTGGCACAAGTTGGTGTATAGTTTTGAGATTGTGTTTATAGTTAGCGATCAAGAACAACTGTAATGTTCTAAGGCAACTCTACAGACCCAAAATAATAACATTTATTGGTTATATTTTGTTATTTTAGTTTTTTACTATCCTATGAAGCTAAAAAAAAATCTTTTCCCCACTCATTTCAATACAGAAAGATATTTTGTCAGCCAAAGATGGTAAAAATGAGCTATCGTTTCTTTTTTCAATCTATCTGAAATACTATTAAACCTATGTTGTTTTTCTTGAAATTGTGTGACTTTTTCTCATTTAGGGTCATGAACATGCATGCAAAGTTTCAACATGCTGATGTGTTTTGACATGAATAAAAATAAACAAATAAATTGTTACGTTCGTACTGTTCCCGGGTCAATTTGACCCGCCTATTTTAATGTTCTAAGGCAACAGAGCCAAAATAATAACATTTATTGGTTAAATTTTGTTATTTTAGTTTTTCTTACTATCTTATTAAGCTAAAAAGGTGCTTTTTCCAACTTATTTCAATGCAGAAAAATATTTTGTCAGCCACAGATGGTAAAAATTAGCTATCTTTTATTTTCTCAATCTATCTGAAATACTATTTAACTCATGTTATTTTTCTTGAAATGTTGTTACTTTTTCTGATTTAAGGTCATGAACACGCATACACAGTTTCAACACTGATGTGTTGTGAAATGTACATATGTGACAATAACATTTATCTCGTTACACATACAGAAATTTTTATACGTTTGTGATGTTCACGGGTCTATTTGACCCGCATTCAAAAGCAACTGTACAGACACAAAATAACAAATTACTTTGTTGTATGTCAGAGCTCCTCAACTCTACTCCTGAAGTGCCAGCGTCTTGATGAGTTTAACAACTTTTTAATTTCAAAGTTTGTGAAAACAAAACTGTTTAGCCTTTTTTTAAGTCCCACTTTTTGATCATAGGCATAAAAATGACTTTTCCAGCTAAAATTGTTATAAAACTTGAATACTTCGGAGCACAGACTTAAGATTGGTAGCTTTTTAAAGGTGAAACATCGCAGATTATTTTAGAAGTAGAAACAGTTATAAAAGTAAACTTATAAAAAGTTATAGAAGTTTAAATTTATTTATTTTATTTAAAATATAAATTTTACAAAACACGTTTACCTCCAAATCTTCAAGAAAATCAACGCCAATGATGAACAAGTTTTGTGCCAAATTTTAGGTTTTCATTTCTATGAAAAACAGTCACCAAATATGAAAACTAGAGTACGAAACCTTTCA